CTCGCGTGCGCATCTTCAATGGTCAACGGGCTCCAATCCTCTTCTGAGTATGTCTTCTCCGCCCCCGAGGCGGCAAGGCCAGGGTTGAGAATAGCCGCAAAGGAGGAAGTAACCACGACGCGCTTCACACCTGGGCAGGATTCTTTGATCGCATGCAGAACTCCGGTCGTACCCAAGACTGCAGGGTCAATCAGATCCTTTTTCGGGTCGGTGACGTTGTAATGGAACTGAATCTGATGAGCAACGAGGGGAATTGAGGCTGTCTAGGTTTCGCAAGCTTACCGGACTAGCCACATGAAGCACAGCTTCCAGGCTGTGGGTGCTGAGAGCGGAAAAGGCTCCTTTGGCTGCAATGTCGGGGACGACGATGGTTTCGAGCTTGCTTTTGGGGACGTCTTTGAAAGATCCATGAATAGCCATCGCCTTCTCTTGCGATCGAGCCGTTGTCAGGACGGAGTGTCCGCGTTGAAGGAGGACATCGATCACATGGCCGGCGACGAAACCCGTTCCGCCTGATCGGTAAAATCAACCTGTTAGCTTTTGCTCGCTGGAGTGTATCCTGATGTTCACGGTACCTGTAACAAGGACCTTGGTCATCTTTAGATTGACGGAAAGACCGTGCCGACTGGTTGAGAAGTTGGGACGATCTGTGAGAAATAGCGGGCAGATGAGACGATCACAAATAGACAGGATTCTATGTCTGTCTTGCGGGCTTACGGATGATTTACTAATTCTTTTAAATCCTTTAAGGTTGGAAGACACCATCAAAGCTGTGACCATCTTGCCGGCTGTTCATGCGGCTGGGGCGGTATCCGCACCCAAGATTGGCAGAAGATTGACCGCTCTGTACGTGTCAAGAAATCAGACGATCTGACCCTGAGGAAAGCGTAAATTAACCATACAATGAAGAGAACCATATACCAAGATCAATTACGTCGATAGGACCCGTGGAGATGGATGCGACCAAAAGGTTGTCGTCCGGCTCCGAACTGAGCAGAAGAAGTATGGAGAACGTAACGCTAGCCAGATGGAGTTTAATAACCACGAAAGTCGGATGCGATGCAAGGATCTGTGTTCCCACAACGCAGATGAGGTGCTGACCGGCGGCTCCGAATCATCGGTGACAGAAAGCTTAACTCCCGTAGGGCCGACCGGAACCTACTGTCAACCTTACTTCCACGATACAAACGATACCGAGTTTCACTTTCAGGTCCAATAACTCCAGAGTTTGACCGAGCCTACTTACTAACGGTTGTTGGGCGACGATGGGTGCTGCCTCACATATAAGGGCGCCATCCATTCGACGGAGCTTGCCACAGCGTACAAACTTTCTACAACTCCGATTACACATAATTCGCCGCTTCTGTTGGTTACGCGTTGCATCTGCTCTAATTCATCCTTATCAAAATTGTTTTCGCAATGGCGAAGTACGCGAGAGATGCACCCGAAGGGTTTCGTAATTCCATTGAGAATGTTGCAGTTGTTGGTGTAAGTTGGTTGGTTGACTCTGGCGATCATTGGGCTTTGCATGCTAACTTCTTTCGAGGCAGGGGGTCAAATAGGCAGAGCTATTGCAGTGCAACTTCTGAAAACAGGAAAGCACCGAGTCACAGCTATCACGCGCAGCGGGAGCAGCAACTCGCTGCCCGAAGGTTTAGAGAAGACATTTGTTGACTACAACAACGAGGAATCTCTGATCGACGCTCTAAAAGGCCAGGATTTCTTGATAATTACCCTTTCCCTCAGCGCGGTGCCGGGAACCCACAGTGACTTGGTCAGGGCCGCGGCAAAGGCGGGAGTGAGGTACGTGATGCCAAACGCCTACAGCATCAATTTCGCAACCAGCGAGAATCTCCGGCGAGACATTCCTGTTGGGAACACAGTCCTCGCAAACATCGCCGAGATCCAACAGGCCGGCATGACATCAATTACCTTGATGAACGGGTTCTGGTACGAGTACAGCCTAATTGCCGGTCCTGCAACCTTTGGGTTCGATCTCGACAACCGCATCATCACGTTCTACGACGACGGCAAGAAGGCCATCAACACGTCAACTTGGGTCCAGTGCGGACGCGCAGTTGCTTCACTTCTCAGTTTGAGAGTACTTCCCGAAGACGAAGATGACAAGTCAACGACGATTTCCGAGTTCCACAACAGTACTCTCTTCATTTCAAGCTTCAAAATCACCCAGAGAGAGATGTTCGACAGTGTGAAGAGAGTCACGGGCACGACTGACGACGACTGGAGGATCTACTTCGAACCAACCAAGGCGCGCTACAAGGCTGGCATGGAGGACATGGAGAGGGGAAAGCCGGAGGGCTTTTACAGATCGATGTATGCTCGGGTCTTCTTTCCCAGCGGAGATGCAGACTTTGAGTCTGACGGAGATCGCCTGGGGCTCCCGGCTGAAGACTTGGACGAGAGCACGCGCTACGCCCTGTCGCTGAGGAGTTCGTCTTATGGCAGCCTACAAACAGACAACAACAGCCAGGAGCATTGAACAAAAGAGGGAAAATGCGTGTAGCATCATAAAGCAAGTTTCAGCCTGCCAATTGACAATTCTCGTTCTACTCTATTCCCGCAACATCCTCTGGTGTATGCATCTCTTTCATCTGCTTGACTCCATCTACCGGACGAAGCCAACTCGCCCGAGTGTCGATGAACTGCTCCACCTGCGGCTTCAACTTCTTTTCGACCAAGCTGAAGTCATCGACAGTGCCGAGACGAAGGATACTCATTCCCGGCAAACCCGAAGAGACACGATACAAGAGGGTTCCACAATTACCACAGAAGTGGTTGGCCATATCGTTCCCCGTGGCAATGGTCTTGGACTGGGTAAAAGACTTCAGGGTTTCCTTGCCTCGAAGGTGGCGTAGGTGGGTGTCGGCAACGGTAAAGTTGGAGCAGAACATCGATGAACTGATTTTGCGACAGTCGGCGCAGTGGCAGAGGAATCTGCTGATAAGGCCTGGCCCGTGTGTTGGCTGTGGCGGTAGGTCAGTCAAGATTCCAAGCTGAATTGCAAGCCGTTGTTGGGACTTACGAAGGCGAGCTGGACGGCACCACAAAGACATGTGGCTGTTGCCTCATCTTCGGTGGAACAACCATCAGTAGCGACACCGGCCAATGGGAAGAAACCTTTGTTGTTATCTTGAGTGGCCGCCATGTCTGGCGATTGTGTTGTATGTGGGTCGGGGTTTGGATGTTGTGTTGCTGTTGCTAGAGCTGTTGCTGCTGTTCAATGCTGAGCTTTTCGACAATGGCAAGCGAGAAAGGCAGGTTCAAATACTTTTCAAGTATCTTCATGGGCACATACGGGCGGCAAGGAGATAATCGCCAAGGCCCGGATACTGGTAATCATGCCGTGATATGCCGCTGACATACCCTCTTGTGGTGTTGGCCGACCCGATGTTGCAACATCCAGATTGGAGCTTTATTCCAGTTTGGTGGAGATAGCAGCGGTTTGCACATGGTGGGTTGAGAGATAGAATCCACCAGCTTAACTTCAGCGCTGATTCGTAAGCTGGCCGATTGGTGATTGGTCAATTATGGGATGCCCCCTCTTGAGACGACCTTAATTTTGAAGCATTGACTGCATCTGCGTCTTAAACCCGATAGAGGTCAGGGGCAGATGCTTGCAAGAAATGCAGATGACGTGAGTGACTTACGGTGAGTCGACTTGCGGTGCTGACAAACAACAGCTGAGGCCCCTGGGCGACTGCGGAGACAAAACCAGCCGACGTGCACAAGCTTAGAAGAACGATGAGATGACAAACACCAAACGGTTGGAAGGCTCTATTCTCTACGAGCACCTTGCATTACAAGATTACCCAAGCATGTTATTTGCAACCTTTGAATCCACTACACTCGGTTGAGGTGCAGCTCCATTCTGCACCGACGTTTGTTCGCGCTTCTTCGGCAACAAATGCTCAGGACACGGTCGATGACCCTTGGAGGGCATGTTCCCAGGGGGAATGTCGCCAACGACAATTCCCTGGTTGTGCGGGGCGTTTGTAGCTATTTAATCAATCAGAAATTGTCGGGAATTGAAACGAGTTCGATAACACTGCAAGGAGAAGGTGTTACACATACCAACGCTGTTTACTGTGTACATGGCGAACTTGTCAAGTCCTCGTCCCACGGAACTGAACTAATGGCCGTCAGCGCACCGTTCACTGCGGTTTTTGTAAGGACATAAGGTCATACAAAACCCATGATGGTTTTCTGTCGATCTTTCCTTCGATTAGAAACTATGTTTTGCTTGGAATTGGGGTGGAAGACCGTTGAAGTGGTTTTAAGCTTATTTCAGCTCTTTTATCCACCGTTGGAACATCGCCTCCAGGGTCCGCCTTGCAAGCAGGAAAGAGGCGTCAGGCATATATGGGCTGTGCTCATGGGCAGGCGCTTCGAGAAGAAGGCCATGTGATGTCATGTACGCCAATGCCTCGCGCCCGGCTTGTGAGATGTGAGGTTTCCCCACCAATCCGAGCAGGTCTCTTTGGCGGCCATTGTGGGAGTTAGGCGTCTTTGAGACTGCTGCGCCGCTGCGAGGCCTGGTCATCCACCACATTAGGGGTCTAGTCTGTCTTGGCAAGAGGACACAAGGTGTTCATTAATTCGGAGATCCTGAGACGAGCGGACAGGGCTCTTTCATCCACGATATGCTTTTCTCTTGGATTGAAGACGAGATCATTCTATTCTTCTTGCTTTGGAGACTTTAGACCAACATTAATGGAGTTCATGGATTTCCATCAATGAAGGAGTCAACGAAGATTAATGCGAAAACCTGTACACCAATTGATTAGGGCCTATCGGGCAACCTGAGTACGGTTCTACATAAGTCGTAAAGCTATTTACATTGCATGCGCCAGTCAACGACTGCGGGTATCTACGTTCCTGTCCAACTTGATTTCTCTGGCCCTAAGTGGCGCCAAAGCGAGATTATTTGAGATATCCTTGTTCTGGCCTTCTCCCCAGTACCTCGATCACTGCGTCACCTCTTATTTGAAATCTCCATCACCATTGCAACGAGAAAGAGGAATAGCCTTCTGCTGCTTGGCACAAACGGTGATGGCTCCAGCAACCCACTTCACACCCTCATAGGACCCTTCCTCGTACGAATCAGCGATCCACGTGCCCGTCTGCTTCAGAGAGCCCGGGCATCCCTGAAAGGTACGGCCGGACCGGCGGTTCACCCATGGACGAGTGATGACAGTACCAGTCCAGCCATCCTCAATGGTGCCGCGCACCGTCGTGGTAGCCGTTGTCGTCCAAGTGCGGGTGTAGTCAACGCCAAAGCTTGCACCCAGACGGTCCTTGATAGCCTTGATGTCAATACCAGCGCTGCCAGATACACTATTTGCGACTGAGTACGAAGAGGCGACGGAAACATCGATGCCCTTGCCAAAGCCAATAACGACGGGAGCCATTTGCACATCCCAGTTGACGAAGCGCTCCGTCTTGTCGGTTGTGATGGAGAAGGTATTGGAGCAGTCACGAGTGTGGAGGTTGGAGTCGGAGGTCTCGTTGAATGGAGTAGGTGCAAGGTGGTTGGCACTGTCGAGCCATTTTTGGGGGAACTTGGGGGTCTCCGGGTTGATACCCTCGCTCTCGAGAAGGGCGAGCCATTGCTTCTCGTTGACAACCTCCACTGTGAGGCGTTAGTCTGATAAGTCTGCGATAGAGTGCGAAAGCGACTAGACAAGAAAATGACATACCATTGCCGTCCTTGTAAACGAGCATTTCATCGCCAGCCAGGTTATGGTCTACAGACCGCCTAGTGCCATTCCCATATTGGCTTCGCAAGGCAAAGTGAGGAGCAGCACTTGCGGCCGTGGCCATGATAACGGTGATGAGCTTGGCAGAAACCATTGTGCCGACAGAGACAATTAGTCTCCTAGTGCTGAGAAGTAATATTTGGGGGAGAGAAGATGGGGATACTGAGATGATATGAAGTCGCATATCGAGTGGCAGCTATCATAGCTTTATAGCTCTCAGCGCGAACAGAATGTCGATACTATGTCTTCGCCGTGAGTCAATTGCAAATGCCACTTACACAGACTATTGCATGAGACTCGGAATCGGCTCAATAACCAAGGGCAGTGGAGTTCATCCGACGATGAAGTCGCTTACAGCGCCATCCCAGCGAGTCATGGCATGGCTCCAGATAATTGGGTTGAGAAGCAGCCAACCACCAACTCAACCATATCATCGGAGGCAGGCCTTCTCCCCAAGCTGGCGTCTATAACTGAAAGAGTTATGATCAGCTTCCGACCCGTCGGCAACACTTCACCGACGTGGTGGACCGACCCAGATATGCTCCATCTTTGGCACAGACGATTACCCGAACAGGCAAGCGATCGTTCGAAGTTCTCCATACCACACGACTCAGAGTGCATCATGAGATGAACTACGGACATCAATCAAGCTGAACTGGTGGGTATCTGCAAGAAAAGCGAGACCTTTTGCGCGAGAACATCGTGTTAATGTTGGACGAGTGCTTCACGGTTTGAGTAATGTACTTCGATAGTTGGTTGCGAATAGATTGATTACACTCAAGAAGGAAAGATGAGCGTCCGCGACCGCAACTGCAAGTCTTCGATGAGAAGGACTATTGTGGACTTTGTTGGAGGAGTTGGATATCATGTTATTCCAAATCCAACGCGTAGATCATTTTCGTATTTGAGCACCCGTCCCAGACCTCTTCTAACTACCTCAACCGTTGACCAGCCGATATTTTCAATCTTCCTTTAGTCCCTACTCTCGTCTTTCAGCCATTCCCTTACGATCAGTTTCCGAGATGCAGACATCCCATCTCCTCGCCGTGGTTCTCCTTGCAGCTGGGTTCGTTCCTCAACTTCCTTCTTGGTTGGCCACGTGTATTGACCCCCAATAGCGTCTTTGCCGACCTCCATAAAACTGCCGTGTGCGTCAAGGACAGAACGAACAACCCTATCGGCGGCACTCCGTACAGTCCAAGCTACAACTGGGTCAAGAACTACGAGATCTTGCCCGACGAGACCAAGTGTGCTTGCGACATGTACAAGGCGCGCAATACTGGAAGCAACCAATGGGACACGTGCCCTGATTGCACTTTTGTGAGTCGTCCACCCCTTCGCCTAGTTTTCCACTAAACTGATGTGCTTTTCAGGATGGTCTCGGTTGCAATTCTGAGGCCTGGCATATCGGTGGCGACGAGTTCACGTATTATTGCGAAAAGAAGTGCGGTGCTCAAGGCGCTGAGGCTAACTGAAATAATCCCGATATACGCAGAAAAGAGGGAATGGGGCGTCAATAAACGTGTAAATACAATGGTGTCACTGATCAAAGCAGGCTTGCACTTTTCTTCAAAGTAGTAATTTAAAAGCCAACATCAAACGCCGAGCACGTGAGGCCTCCTCATCATTTTCGCCAACGACGTGGTAATCGCGAGACCCTCTTCGCTGGCTAATTTACAACCCCTGTGTTACAGGCCTGGAATCGCAGAATAATGGTCCCTCATTTAGGGAACCTAATTTAAACGCAGTGGGCTAACCGTCTCGCCGATGACGACACACACTGTTGAACCTCTTCAACATGCACACCCTCATCACTTGTTCCTTCTCGTTTTCACAACTTGGGAGCAAAATATTGCCAGGACAAGAGTCCAACTAGTACTGATTTCGCTGCTTTGAAACGTTTACCGATCACTCTAATCTCCCTCCCTCATTTCCAAGGCCATTCGCGCAAGAGCTGGAACCCCTAGGGGAATGATACCTTGAGGTTGAACGCCGAGTCATTGCAACTCCAACCCTCTCCACAGTATCCCAGAAACACGACATTCCGCACGTGGGGTAACAACCGGGGCAAATGGCTTCAGCCCTGGAGACATGAAGCCACTTAATGCTGAGAGCTTGGGGCAACTTCTAATCTGATACCCCAGAGCATTCTCATGACCCAAGAGACGCTCAGATCTTCACTAACGTGTTACAGAGATCCCAATTCAAAGAACAGCTTGATATATCTACACGGCGCTTGATTGCCGCGCGTCAGCTCGATGACAAGGATACCGCAGTGAAGTCAATTCTTTCCCGCGGGACTTTCCTACCTTTTGGCCCTTAGAACGGGGGGAGGCGGTTTGAATTTATCTGAAAACGAGATCGTCTTGTCTAGCTCGCTGACAAGGTCACAATCATGTTCCTGATCTTCGCGTCAACGGGGAAAACTGCAACGTCGGCTGCGGCTATTCAACCACGACCTTCCAACGTGCCACTTATGCCGCCAAGATACGATCGACGACGTACAGTTCGATAGCGTGCGGGTGCTCGCTCCACCGCCCGGCCTCTGGTAAACATGGCTCTCAACGTCGTTACATGAGTCAGCTATGGCGGTGATCTTTGGATGTCTGATTGCGCTTATCGACCATTTCTGATGGAAACATGGCCGGAGGTTAAGTTATGAGGTAGCTTTAAGGCTCCAAGCTGTTGTTTGTGATCGTACGGTGTGGTCCAAGCAATATGCATGGTATTGAGCTTGAACGGCTAAGTAGCCATAATACACAATAGGTACCTATGTTGGCAAAACTTTTTGATTCTAAAAAATGTGAAGCCATTCACATCGTGAGCTCTCACAAGCCTCTTGCACTTCCTGCGCTTCGCTGATTTTGTCGACGTCTGGAGGTGGTTCACTTGGCCTGGCAGGTTTTGCCGATCGTAACTTGACAGTTCCCCACCGAGGAACATTTGGCTCACACGACAAGGTGGGTGACGTCAATGCAGTGGCAACGATAGTGTTATTTTGGAGCTATTTATGGGTCGAGTATGGAGAAGCTTACTCTCCGAGCTTGCCGTGATCGCCCGGCGCCGTCACCTGCCATCTTTGGTATGGGAGACAGGGAGGTGGCTGGGGTCGCGTGCAACCTTTGACTGATGAACGTCTTGGGCGGGTATTCTTTTGTGATAAATGAGGTTGGTTTTGTAGTTCGCGACGTGTGTTGATGGTGGTGTGGACTTATCCGTGTCGGGTGCTTTTGTTTGGAATCATCACATCCTGTGTCGTTGCGAGGCTTTCAGTGTTCAACCAGAACATCCCTAAAAAGTTTGAGATCCTCGGAAACATGCCCTTTAATATGTGTCTATGTTGAATCAATTGTGGAGAGGTATTACGGTCCCCGGGGGTGCTGCCGAGAAGGCACTGGCCGCTCATCCGGAGTACATCAAGGGCGCTGGAACCACGAAACTGAATGTTTACTTTAGTTCTATTCGATTGAGCACCTGCGAAAAGATTGTGTCCTTTGAATTTTGTTTCCAGAGGAACAGTCGCGCAGGTGCATTTATTGGTGGAGTGAGAGGGTATCCGGGCCGGCGACGGCGCGGGTGCGGGTGGGAACTGTGGGTCTACCCCCGTCCGCACCCCGAAATTGGCGCCGACCAGACCGGAACCTAGCACGGCGGGCAAGAACACCGAGACTTACACCAAGACTTACATCAACACCACCAGAAATGATTCACTCCTAGTATGGACATAAAAATCCCGAAATGGCATCTCCTCATCCGATCCAAGCCGGAGCAAAATCCCCAGACCGTCCCCAAATCCAAGTCATGACGTCACCCACCATCATCATCACGCCTCTCAAGCCAGTGACGCGACCAAGACATGCGTGATGGTTAAAGTCCTTACGGCAGGAAAACTTCCTTAAACCGAGCTACGTTTCGTTCCCTTTGACCGCTTCAATCCCTCTCTTCCTATTACACCACCGCCTCCATGCCCTCAACAGCCCGCCTCGCAAAACAAATCCTCTCAACCCCTCAAGCCAAGTCCCTCGCCAAAAGCGCCCAAGCAAACATGTCCACCGGAACCCCCTCCGAGACCGCAAAGGCGCAAGCGTCCGCGTCGGCCAACGCGCCCTCATTCGAGTCAATCGGGATCAAGAACAAGGACATTGTCCAAAAGTCAGGCGTCTCGCTGTCCGACCAGCAGAAGGTCCTAGTCGGCAGTGTTCTCGACGTAAACTCCCTTCCTCCTCAAACCGAACGTCCCAAGCGCTAACCGCCATTGCAGCTCTTCGAGGGAAACCCCACCCTCAAACACCTCTCCCTCTGGTCTAACACCGCCACCTTCCAGGACAACATCACCATCGCGGAAGGCTACGACAAGTTCGCCGCGCAGTGGTACGGCCTGCCCGCGCTCTTCGACCCGATCCGGATCCAGTCGCACACCGTCACCTCCGCCGGCAACCCCATCGAGTTCAAGCTCAAGAACACGTACACCGTCAAGGGCGTCAAGAGCGAGCAGACGATGGAGAGCACCGTGCAGATCGACGTCGGCGCCGACGGCAAGATCGCCAAGGTCAGCGACAAGTGGGACAACGAGCTGCCCGAGGGCGCGTTTTCGCAGGTACGTGACGCTTTTCGGGAGTCGTATTCGAAGGCCTTTTGGACGGTGGCGTGGTTGTGGAAGGAGGGCGCCGTGGCTTTGTTTTGTCGGGTGATGTTGTTGCCGCCCTTTTGGGTAAGGGGGTTTTTCGATGCGGGGCGTGGATGTGTGCTAACGGGTTCGTAGGCACTGCGGAAGCTGAATGCTGTTACGGTGCCGACGTTGGTCAAGGTTCCCAAGACGGAGGAGGAGGACCAGAAGATGAAGGCCGAGAGGGAGAAGAGGACCCAGTAAAATGTATGATGTGCTCCTGGCAGCAGTAGTCGAGATGATGGCTGGCCCAGTATGATGATGGCGTGTTGCCTCGCATTGTAAAAAAGCGTAATCCCAGGAAATCAGCATGCTTAATCATTAAGATGAGAGTGGCTTGCGAGTCGACCAGTTATCCAGGAAATTGCCAGTGATACATCTACGGATGGCTAATTCATTTTTCTGAAAGGCTATGTGTAGAGGCTTCCTCACCAACGCAACGATTGTCATGCGAATCAGTAAATTGTTCTACTATGCATCATCAATTCATTGGCCAAAGAAGCAGCCTCGTAATGGGTATCTATCGTCGTCACAAATTCGCATTCCCTTCACCTCGAATCAACGCCAAGAAACCTTCCGCGACCCAAAAGGAATCGAAGCTCCTGGGCGAAGGCCCGTAAACAGCCGAATGCAAATAGCAGATTGAATCAGCTTTAATAATATCTCGAGCCTCTCCACCATCTCGAGTAGGTGCTGTGATCTGAAGTCCGGCATTAGCTTCGGTCTGGATTTGGTAAATTCGGGCGATGACAAACCTCTTTGAGTGCTGATGCCCAGTTGATCCGCGATGTTCACATAGCCTTCATACGTCGCCTGGCCTTTCTTCTTGACGGTCTTCACCATGTCGCCAGTGTCGTTCTCCCACACGCTGCGACAGTATGGGCACGTCACGTTCGAACCGCTCCTACGCTTCGTCGCAGCCCAAGTATCAAAGCACTCCTTGTGGATGTTCTGACCGCAAGCAGCGCGGCAATAGACGACTGCCTCGCCACCCTCAGCCTCGAGTTCGCAGAAGCAAATGGGGCAGTCGCCTTCGACGGGCTTCCGGTTCTTATCCTGCGTAGCATCGGAGGGCTTATCGATGGGCGGGGCGTTGGCGAAAATCTCCTTGAGTTCGGTGGTGAGCAGGGCAAGTTGGTAGGTGTGTTCGAATTTCGCGCGGAGGACTCGGGACATGACCTGCAACTGTTAGAGCTGCTCGTGACAGTGAGATTGGAGGAGCTGTGTACATAGAGCCAGTGCTTGCATTGGTTACCGGCGAGGAAATGAGGACAGGTGCACGTGGGGCGCTGGGCGATCTTGACTGTGTAGATGTTGCCCGTGGAACCCGTCAATTCGACCTCCTCCTCTGGAACTTCATCGGTGCCGCATCTTCGTCGCTCGAGTACATAGAATCTGCGATCACAAGTCAGCAGGATCGTACGGAGTCGTGTCCGACGGAAATCACCTCTGCGTTAGAGCTCTGTTGTAGACGTCGCTGAAGTTTGAGGGCGGCCTGGGACGGAAGCGGCGCAATCGCTTTTCGGCGTTGGGATCCTTCTTCGGTTTCTTCTTCTCAGGGGACCCATCGTTGGCAGCGGCAGCTTTCCGCTTTCCCAACGGTGAAGGTGTCGGGGTGGACGCTGGGAAGGTGTTCCTGGAGGCGCTTTGGGGAGTCCGATAAGGCGGCGTGTATGTCGGCGTGTATCCGTAGCTGGTGCTTGCCGGTGGCGGGGTCGCAGTGGGGGCACCCATGGTGACCGATCGCGATGACGGTGTCTTCAGCAGGGACGAGGGTCTTGGAATGGAGGCGAATAGGAGGAATGTAGGCGAATGAAGAAAAGAGGCAGATGGCTCGAATTGGAAGTTATTCTGAAGGAGGGGAAGCTGGGAAATGGGTTTTTGGAAAGATCATTCGCCGCAAGCAGAGAAAGATAAGAATTGCAGGAGCTCTGATTAAACTTTGGATCGCAAGCGGCAATTGCCCCCCTTTTCCACGCCTTCCGGGTTCCCCACGCCTCCCAAGCTCAATGACGAGCTTTGGTGCACGGGCCTTGTTGGCCTCATGCACGGACCGTCGAATGCGACCTTGACGCGGCATCACGAGTTTATTCACGTGACTTGGATGCTGTTCGACCGAATCCTAGAGAGAAGTGGGTCGGAGAAGCCGGTGCTGGTCCTCCTGAGGTCGCGACGGAAAAGCCGCTCCTTTCCGCTGCACATCCTTCACCTACAGACGCGAACATTGATGCGCGGGTCGCTGACCGCTCAGACCGCCAACGACAATGGTCACTCATCAACGATAGCCAGGCGGCTTACTTCCGCCTCGCATGGCGCCTCTGCGGCATGCTACGGTGGAGTCTGTCCAGTCAAGCTCACCTTGAACCCCAGAAGCAGTACCAGTCGGCGTATGAGGGCTCCTTTTCGCTGACCGCAGGAATATCTGTATATAGAACTTGACTGTTCGATTTTGAATTCAAAATGTTATTACACGTCATTGAAGGCAACCTCTGTCCCTTTTCGTGCGGCCCATTCTCCTCGAGATGGCCATCGACGCAGCTATGGAGGCACCAAGGCCTAATATGAACGACAGCATCTCCAAGATCCTCCAGTCCCTTACTTTGGGAGAAAAATGCACCCTCTTATCCGGAAAGAACATGTGGGAAACCGCAGATATCCCCCGCCTCGGCATCCGCAGCCTCAAGACAAGCGACGGTCCAGCTGGCGTTCGCGGCTCACGATGGACTGACGGGACTCACACCACATACATCCCCTGTGGCATCTCTCTCGCGGCCACCTTCGACCCAGATCTCATTCAACGAGTCGGCAAGATCCTCGGCGCCGAGGCTAAGACCAAAGGAGCTCACGTCTTGCTCGCGCCGACCATGAACATCAGCCGCTCGCCCTTTGGCGGCCGCAACTTCGAGAACTTTGGCGAAGACCCGTATCTCATAGGCGTCATGGCTAGCAGTTACATCGAGGGAGTGCAAAGCGAAGGCGTGGGAGCTTGTATGAAGCACTACGTCGCTAACGACATGGAGACGAGACGCTTCAACATGGACGAGCAGATTGACGAGCGGACGCTGCGAGAGATCTACCTCAAACCGTTCGAGATGGCGTTGAAAGCGGATCCCTGGACTGCCATGACAGCATATCCTAAGATCAACGGCGAACATGCTGACACCAGCCGCTTTCTGGTTTACGATATCTTGCGACAGGAGTGGGGATACGATGGGCTGGTGATGAGCGACTGGGGAGGATTGAACTCGACCATCGACAGCATCCTTGCCACCACAGATCTAGAAATGCCAGGCCCGTCGCTCCGTTACGGAAAAGCCTTGCTGAAAGCCGTCGAGTCTGGTGCTGTCTCCGAAGAAGAACACATCAACCCGTCTGTCGAAAGACTCCTTCGTCTCCTCGCACGAGCTCAGCTACTCGACAGCCCACAACAAAATGACACAAACGGCATCCATGAAGGTATAGAAGGCAACGAGGCCGAGTCGGACACTCCCGAATCCCGCCAAACGGCCAGAGAGGCAGCCTCCCAAGGCATAGTCCTCCTCAAGAACACCGGCATCCTCCCTCTCAAGCCTTCTAAGCTCCGCTCCCTTGCCATTATCGGTCCCAACGCCAAAACCCCGACAACAGGCGGCACCGGCAGCGCCATCGTGAACCCCTACTACATCACCACACCCTTTGATTCCCTCAGCCACGCTGCCAAGTCTGCCAACCCAGACATCCAAATCACCCACCATTGCGGCATCTTCACGCACCTCCAACCACCCCTGATCGGTGACTGCCTCACGAACCCAACCACAGGCTCCCCCGGCCTCCGCGTCGACTTCTTCTCAGGGAACACCTTCTCCGGCGACATCATCTCCTCTTCAGACTGGCACAAATCCCTCGTCTACTTCATGTCCGACGGCGACGTGCCCCCCTCCCTCCGCGGAACAACCTATAGCTACAAAGCAACCGGCCTACTCCGCCCCAGCGCCACAGGGACCTACGACTTCAGCCTCTCCAACACCGGTAAAGCGAAGCTCTTCATCGACGACGAACTGCTAATCGATAACTCGGACTGGACGCAGATCAGCGGCAACTTCATGAACTGCGGCAGCGTCGAGGTGTTTGCGAGCAGGGAGCTGGACGCGGGCAAGACGTACCGCCTGCGCGTCGACAACCTCGTCGTGCCGCCACCGACAAGACCGCATGACAACACGCTCTTCCACAAGATCTCGGGCGTCCGCGTGGGAATGCTCTTCCGGCACGACGAGGAGCAGATGTTCCGCGACGCGGTCGCGGCGGCGGAGGGTGTTGATGCGGTTGTGCTTGTTGTGGGGCATAATAACGACACTGAGCGTGAAGGGTCGGATCGCACTTCGCTGTCGCTCCCGCGGAGGACGGACGAGCTGGTTGCTGCGGTCGTGGCTGTTAACCCGAACGTGGTCGTGGTGACGCAGTCTGCATGTGCCGTGGCCATGCTGTGGGTTGATGGGCCCGCTGCGATTGTGCATGCGTGGTACCAAGGGCAGGAGTGCGGAAACGCCATTGCGGACGTGATCTTCGGCAAGGTCAATCCTTCCGGGAAGCTGCCGCTGACGTTTCCTAAGAGGATAGAAGACCATGGATCGCACAAGTGGTTTCCTGGTGACGCGGAGAATGATTATGCGGAATACGGAGAGGGTGTGCTGGTTGGGTACCGCTGGCTCGACGAGCAAGGGACAGAGCCTTTGTGGCCTTTTGGGTATGGATTGTCCTATACCAAGTTCCAAATCATCGATGTTGCGGTCAAGGGCACCATCTCCGCCGCCGGCGACCGCTCTGCTTCAATTGTCGCCACGGTCACCAACGTTGGCGACATCTCGGGCAGCGAGGTCCTACAAGTCTACGTCTTGTCTTCGCCCGCGATCAAGGGGCTAGGCCGTCCTTCGGCCCCGAGATCCCTTGCTGGATTCCAGAAAGTCGCGCTCCGCCCTGGAGAGTCAAAGTCTCTGGCCATACATCTTGACGCAAAGGCGGTTGCCTGGTTCGATGTCGTGGGGAAAGGAGGTCCGGGGTCTGGTGGGAAATGGAGGGTTGACCGCGGCACTTACAAATGCTACGTTGGAGTGAGTTCCCGCGACATTGTTGCTGAGGTTGAAGTCACCGTAGAATAGACAACGCCTTTCATGGCTGGTATAGTCTATTCAGTAGAGTATCTGATACTTGGACCTCATCGTCCGCAGAATAGACAACATGCTCTCTATACTCGACCCCGGGAACGCCCACTTCTCAACCAAGGATATCGCCTTGATCTGTAGTTCATCAATATCCGGCACGGTCTCCGCTAAGACCGGCGACAACGAAGCCAACGTCAACAGCAAAATCACCGCGAGCGTCCTACCCACGCCACGAATTAGCAAACCCCTCGACGGCAGAAAAGCAAGACAATCCCAACTTACGAATGCAGCACAATCTCCAACGACCCGCAAGACCCCTTCAACCTATACTCCACCACATCCAAATACCCCCGACAATGCCCCAAACACCGCTTCGCATTCTCAACAACCACCTCCCCCGCCACCGCCCCGCCCTCCATCCCACACACCTGATGCAGAAACGGGCGGAAGATGATATCCCCCGCAGCATGATACCTCAGCACCATAATCGCCTCGTCGACACTCAGCGCGGTCCCGCTCGCGGTATGCAGGTCGGGCTTGATCGCGGACGGGAGGAGGTCGTACCACGCGCCGAGCTGGTGGCTCAGCTCCGCGGAGACGGATGCGAAGGTATCCGCTGTGGCGGAGTTTGTCGTCGGGGAGGCGGTGTCGTACATTACGTGGTGGATGCGGTTGAGCAGGCGGCGGGCGGAGAGGTCTGCGAGCCAGGAGAGCATGGCGGGGTCGGGCGGGTTGCCGCAGCGGGGGAAGGGGAGGTTCTCGATGACTTGGTCGATGCCGCTTCGGGGGAGGTGGTGTTCTGCTATGATGTCGCTGGGAATACAAAGTCAGCATGCACACGATGAGGTGGGGGATTGTTTGGATTTGGGACGTACCATTCGAGGACTAAGATGGCCCAGCATAGACGGGTTACGGGCTGGTGAGTGTGCATTTCTTCCAAGGGTTGGCGCATACTCCTATGTCTAAGGATCATATTAGCAGCTGCCCATCAGGTGGTGACAACTAGTACGAGGCCTCACCGGATGGGATAGTGTTGTATACTCGTCGACGCCATGTGAACCAACCTCCATGCCTGAAGCGGTCTCGAGAGGTAGCTGTAGTACAGCGCTGCAAGATACAATCCCTGTGGGAGCAGGATCGTATCCCCAAACGAGTTGAACCACGTCCCAAGGAGCACCTGCAAGGCCGGCGTAAACATATCCACGCCAGGTAGCCAACCATCTCGCGTCAGATCAGGCGTGTCGACAGCTGCGCGCCCCAGAGCCAACACGACCAGGACCAAAGCAGCACGCAGGTCAGCTTGCAAGGGGTTCCCCACGACATCTCGATAGATGTGCTCAAAGTCGTCCCTGTCGAGGATGGGATGCTGCGGGTTCACGAGGTCAAAAAAGTTTTCCACCAGTGACGATGCTTCCTCCGCATCGATATCGGGGAAGACGATCTGGCTCAGGAGTATCGGGGTCAGGGACAGAGGCTCGGGGAGGGTCCTCTTGCTCTCCACGCGGAGGAACACGTCGGAGGGGTAGTCACCCAGCAGCGCCTTGGCGGACCGCGACTGGAGGAGGCTCCCTGTGGTTGTGGAGTGGGACATGGGAATCGCCATGGGCGCGGTGATGCATGGTTCCGTCGGGGGCGCCACGGGGGTCGCGGCGGCGGAGGGGATGTGGAGCGATGGATCGACTGAGAGAGGTCCGTAGCCTGGGGACGGGAAGGCGGATTCTGGGGATGGGTTCTGGGATGGCGGTGGGTATGTGTGTGAGGTCGGGGTGTAGTGGTCATCTGGCTGAGGGTGGGATGTTGGCGGGAGGGACGCGAAGTGTGTGAAGGACTGTTCGAGACGTTGCAGGCGGGAGAGGATCTCGGCTGTCTGATCTACGGGGATTGATCTTCTGGGCCATGTGGCACGTCAGCCTCGCGGCGGTAAAGGCCCCCGTTTCTTCCCTGCGTCAGTTTCTTGCGTATAGAGTCTCTTACTTGTGTTCTTCCGTGGCGGGATACTCGCACTCTGAGTTATTGGCTTCTTCGCAGAGGGTGCAGACGGGTTGCCTTCCGTCGCATTTGCGTTTCCTGAATACCGCAGAGATCAGTCCTCAGTCCTGTCGTCTAATGCAAACCAGAAACTAATTATTGGCGGGAAGGAATGTGCATCAACGGCGGCATCGAGCATCCGCCATCGCATGGCGTTGCAGCGGGAGTCAGCGGGAGCGGGCTCCGCCCGTGTAAACTTACCTTCGACGGCAGTAGTGGCAGGCGACAGCGGTTCTCTTCCGCTTCTGAGTCTCCATGATCATATTCGTATCTGATATGGGGCACATGGGCGTGGTGTATTGTCTGAGAGCAGATGGTTACCGACATTCGACGGGAGAATGACTGTTCTTGTGCGGCGGAAGGGCCGCGCTTCTCGGGCGGGACCGGCGGGATCTCTGCCGCCTTTTTCGCAGCTTAATTTGGAGCGTTTCCCGGTCTAGTCCCGGTAAATGCTTGACTTGGTGGCGCCCGGATGATTGCAAAGATCACCTAGTGAACATGACTTAGGACGAAGGTCGTCAGTCAGCAGGGCGTGACTCATTTGGGTAACTGCCTTTTTGGGACGTTTGAAAGACAAGACAATATCAAGATCCAAAAAGGTCTGCGTGTTGCGGAAACGGGCTCTTACAGATCTTTCTAACTGGACAAAATATTGAGCTGGTGACAAACGCGCCTTGTGTCCAAGTCGGACTGCCAATCGCCCCCGAACGCCGGTATCCACGCAAATGAGTCTAAACACGCACGATCGACATCTCAAACAAGATATCAAGTAAACACAATTGAGTATTCGCTCAAGATGTGAATAGAACACAGGGCTCTCCAACGAACCAAATCTCACGAGATGGTCCTTGCAGCTGGCTTCATCACACCCTCCTCAATCGTCTGGGCAGCCTTCTGCCCATCAAACAAAACGTCAATCTCCTCCAAGGTCAGACCTTTCGTCTCCACCCACTGAAAGTAGATGTATACCCAAATCAAGATGTTCCACGACGCATTGACGATGTAAGTCTTCCACCCGATATTCTCCATCAGGTACGGAAACGCCATCGAGACCAAAACACCACACGACTTGATAAGAATTCCCTGCATCGCGATGCCGTTTGCCCGCATGTTATACGAGAGAACCTCGGGTGCGTACATGGCCGTGAGAGGCGTGATACCGAAGGCATATGCACCCAGGAAGAGAAAGATGCATGCGATAGTGCCGTATGTACCGGCTTTGTCGCCCGAGGTCCCGTACTTGGCAGTCAGACCTGCGAGGAGGTAGAAGAAGATTGAGCAGGTACCCAAACTTCCGAGAGCGAGTACTCGTCGGCCCAATTTCTCGGCTAGTGTCGATCCGGTGATTGCAACAACAAGTTGCCAGGAGGACAGGATGACATTGATCTGGAGTTGCGTGGTTGGATCGGTGACTCCAGCCTGGCTCAGCATTCGGCCAAAGTAGTACCTAAAGTCGCCGGTCAGGTCATAACCCGGGCAGCTGTTGAATGGTAATGAAGAAGCGCAAACTTACGTGATGACATTTGATCCTGTCAACATTGCCAGAGGCGCAACTGATAAGGCCAATAGTAGGCGCTTGCGGTTGGGCTTGCGGACCATTCCGCGGATTCCCAAAGTGTTCCCCTCTCGCTTCTCGTATTCTAATGTCTCGATGATTTCTCTGAATTGCATTTGGACGTTCTCGTCACTGGCGTCGGCCCCGTTGACCTTTGCTAGCACTTGAAGGGCTTCGTCTCTTCGGTCGCGAAAGGCAAGCCATCGAGGAGACTCTGGGGCCAGGTAGATAAGGATCATGACGAATAGAGGCGGTGCAGCTTGGAGGATCGAGGGGACTCTCCAAGCCCAATCCGATGGCTCAAGCGCGGAGGACTAGAAGGAAAGTCAGTACTCGACAGAGAGATGTGCGACATGAGTATACTCACGCCATAAGAAATTCCGGCTGCGAGCAGGGCACCCACAGCCCAGCAAGAGAAGTAGAGACCCAATGCCAGAGACCGGATGGACGGCGCAGTCGTTTCCGCCACATACGTTCCCGCGGCAGTCTGCCCCAGACCGACTCCAATGCCAATAATGAGACGTCCAGCAATGAACATGGCGATGTTCACTGCCGCTCCCGCGATGATAGCGCCAATAATGTTGACGATACCGGATGCATAGAGGCCCATCTTGCGGCCTTTCCAGTCGATGAGCATCCCAGTGAACGGGCCGATGAGGATGGCTCCCAGGAATGTGGCGCATGTGTTGACGGCTGTTGTCGCTGTTGTGAGCTCAAAGTACTTCTGGTACGATGCCATGACGTTGAGGGAACCCATGAGAGAGCCGTCGTAGGCTATGGTGACGGAGTCGACAACGCATACCGACACCACCAGCGCCGTGCTCAGGCTCATGCGGAGGGAGGCTAACTTGGACGGAGACATGACGAAGGAGAGGTGTGAGTCAAGATCAAGGAGTATTGAGAGTGTGCAGACTTCCAAGGATGTAGAAGGCCAGCCTGCCTTATATGGAGTGTTCTTAAGCTGTGAAAACACCCCTTTCTCCCGTCCTTTAGAGGGCCTGAAGCCAGTGCGACGCCTTCTATCGGTTGCCAAGATAAGAGAACTCCCTCAGCGAATGCGTATAAGCTGATTGGCGATGATACTCCGGGGTATCGGGTGTCCACACGAGGTGATCTGGGGAAGTGTTATCTGTGGGGAGAGTTTTGGGAACGGTGAAAAGTCTGCTGCTACTGGTTGGCTTCGAGGGCGGATATCCCGCCACAAACTCCGCTGTAATTTTGGGCTAGCTTGAAAGATACCAAAAGACATTACTTGAATCGTACTATCACGGTCATATTGCTACCCTCCTTTACCTCATTGCTTTCTCTGCTCGCGTCACCTTCCTCCCTTGATCCCGCTGTGCTCTGGTCGTTTCGCCAGTCTTGTCCCTCTCCTTACATCGTCTACCTTATCTCTTGATACTCATTCTTTCTTCAAGATGATCTTCAGCATGCATATAATCTTTTAAATTCAAGGCTGGCTGCCTTTGGAGTGTATCGAAACAGTAGCATTAGACATGCTGCCTAGTGTTGCGCGGCAGACACTTCTCGATCTCCACGTGCACGTTCTTTTAAATGCTACCATTATCTCACGATAAATATTCCGAGAGCGATCAAGCTCGTTAAATGATTCTAATCTTGTTCTCGTGTCTCTACACCTTCAGCCCACTGAGTAACCCTTGGCCGCGTCTCGCAGTTCGGATGCTGCCGAAGATTTTGAGACTCAAAGCAAGCCAGTACTCAATTAGAAACCTGACCTATTGAGACACGGGCTTGTCTGTTGGTGCTTCTGCATCAACTGTCAAGACATCACCGACGAAGTTTGCCGGCTCTCTTCGTCTCCGGTCTACCTTCAACTCAAATACGTCGAGACGTTGATACCCACCAACGACGTCGTGATACTGCTTTCCCTCGATACAATCCTGAATATCCATATCCGCATACAAAATCCCCTCTGTAGCCTGCAGATATTCGGTCGGCTTCTGCTCCTGAGTCTCCAAGTCCACAGTAAACCCCTGCAACAACGACCCTGCAGGATCCAAGAACATCGTCGCACCGCGCTGCGAGTTCTCAAGAGCCGACGTGACAACTTCAGTCTGACTGGCTCCTGATGATATGATCTCGACGGCATCTTTCCCAAGAACGCCAGAGCACAGAACTCCGAAACACTTGGCCTCAAAGCAGTGCGCCGCCGCTCTCGTTCTGTTGGCGGCGACATTGTCGTAGTTCGCCCCCTTGGCCACGCTCGATCCCCCGTCACTCCCGCCAGCCTCCGGTGTCGGTATCCTCGTAGGCCAGATTGCAGGCCACGTCGAGATGTGAATCTGCTCACCCTGCGACATCAGCGCATACCTCGCGAGCGGATTCGTGTTTTCTCCGCAGATCAGGTTTCCAATTTTTCCGTACTTCGTCTCTGCCAGCCGGAGCCCGTGACCATCTCCAGGCGCCCAAGTTAACTTCTCGAAAAAGGTTGGCATCAACTTCCTGTGGCGTACCAGAACTTCTCCGTCGGCGCCAATAATGACGTTGGAGTTGTAAAGAGTCGCGCTGCTCGATCGCGCCTTCTCTGAAATGCCGACGCTGACCATAATGTCGAGCTTCTTTGCTGCGGATCGGATAGCCGAGACCTCCGCCCCGTCGACATAGACCGACTCGAGCGCCATACGTTTGAAGAGGTCATGATTCTCAGTCGGCGGGCGCAGAGCTGACCAGATTGGGAATGCTGGGATGTAGGTTTCGGGGAAGACGACGAGGTTGGCTTTGTTCCTGGCAGCTTCATGAATGAGGGAGATGGCCTTATCGGTTGTGCGGCGGGCGGAGAGGAAGATGGGTGAGACGTGGCATGCTGCGATGCGGATCGGAGTGGCCATTGCGACGCAAAGATGATGTAAAAATCGCTGGCTGCGAAAGATTTTGGGTTCTCTTCCAATCGCGCAAGTGGTTGACAATTGTCTATGATTACATAGACTGGGTTAACTAGATTTTGGGGTTTGATAAGGCGCTGTTGACAGATTCGGAGCTTCTTCTGACTCCGATTTGGGGGCGGCATCCGATCCGCCGCTTCCACTGCCCACCTCATTTGCGTCCCACCTTTTCAAACACCGAAAACCCCAACGCAAGATAGTCAAGTTCACAAAACCAATTGGGCCGTACAATCTCGTTCAATTCAAAGACTTAAGCCTTATTTATTTGATGATCACGACTTCTCCCTACCAACCTGTCGTCTGAAAAGATAAGGAGGCTTGGACCGTAACCATGCTGCGGGGCCTTTCTGGGCGATGCAAGAGTTGGACCAACCGTATACGGTTCGAAGAGCAGCTGAACTGCCACTTTAAAGATGCTTCTACATGAGCAAGTTGCCAACATGGAACTTTCCATTGCTCCAACAGACGGACGAGAACGCAATGCATGCCGGTCAATCGACCCCGCCGGCTTCTTCATTCGACACCCGCCTGGCCCTCATCTCCTCGGTAACTTCATTACACACGAGGACCATCTCTTCCAGACCATACACATGGGCGCTGCGGTGGTTGATAAGGATGAGTGGCTTCTGATCATAGATGGGCTAGTCGAGCGGCCTTTTGCGCTGACCTTCACCCAATTGTGTCAACTTCCACGACGCTCCGTGACAGCTTTTCACGAATGCTACGGCAGCCCTTTGAAGCCGCCAACAGAAGCCGTTTGGCGCATTGGGAATGTTGTCTGGACCGGGATGCCGTTGAAGTTCCTCCTGGACCTGGCGCGGCCATCACCTACGGCCACATTTGTCTGGTCTGAAGGACTCGATTACGGCACCTTTCACGACATCACGGCGGACCGATACCAAAAGGACCTTCCAATGACTAAGGCTCTCAATCACGAAGTCCTTGTGGCGTACGAGATGAATGGTAAGCCATTGGCCAAGGAGCGAGGCGGGCCTGTGAGACTTGTGGTACCTGGCTGGTTTGGGACGAACATGACCAAATGGTTATGTCGTTTATCTCTTCAGGACAGGCGAGCGGAAGGGCCTTATACGACGACATTTTATAACGAGATTGACCCGGCGGATCCGGAGGGCAAGAGGAGGAGACCTGTATGGAAGGTGGAAGTGAACTCAATCATCACGAAACCAGAACCTGGGGCTATCTTCGGGGGACCGAACGTGCAGCTCGAGGGCTGGGCGTGGTGTTGTGAAGAAGTAGTGGAAGTTTCAGTCAGCGTAGATGCAGGAAAGTCATGGATCCTAGCCAGCATCACTCCAAGGGCGGACTTTGAATGGCAGAGATGGGAAGTGTGCTTGGAGCTTCAGGCCGGGGAACACAAACTGATGGCAAGAGCGAGGTCTGTGTCAGGACAACAGCCTCTGGGCGGACGAAGGAATCATGTCCATACAGTGGCAATTCAAGTCATGGCTCAATAGCCCACAGCGTGGGTCTCGAGAGGGTGAGGGTATACAGACCTTGTCAAAGATAGCCTCGACGGAGTGATGAATAGCACATTACCGGACTCGCCAAACCCTCCGCTAGATCTGTCCGTGATGATAGGTCCATGCAAGTTTTCGAAGCCGAAATATTGAAGGGTTCCGCAAGTCATTCAGCGAGCTCCGAACATCATCCCTCTAGCTGGAAATACCGAGAGTTGCCATGAATCCAGAGAGATGAAAACCGGCTCCTCTGAATTTCAGGTTTGCAAATGTCGAGTTTCCGTGAATTCTTCGGCCCCGGTTGACAAAGATCTGATGGCGCAAAAATAGACGGCTGATCGAACTCGAGGTATGCGAGATAGTCCGACATCGTCGCAATTACACCAGCTCTCAAGATGATGGTCACAGGCGGCAAAATACGAGTATGTCGTACTCTCGAGTTTCTGGGGCAGATCATTGTTGCTGAAATTGCACATCCGCGAGCAATCTTGGTGTGATATCTGGACGCTGTCAGTCGAAATGATCAATCTGGCTGAGATGAATGAACAAGATCATCCAGTGTTGCCGATCACCTACCGATTAAGGAAACTCCGCCAGGGGGTTCGAAAGGAACTTTAGAATAGTTTCCCCATCAGCACGATCCAGCCAGAGCCCACCGCAAATCGCACGAGAAGCAACGCTGTCGCCCACCCACCCGAACGATGCATCTCAGCTTCACGCCAGAGAAAAAAATGCTTGCGCAAACATCGACTCCAGGAATAGCTTCAATCGTGATCCGCAACGATCAACTGCTGACCGATAGACAGCACGGCGCTAAGGCTGGCAGCGACTATTGAAAAGACGCGTACGCTACGGGTCTAGTCCGGGCCTGGCTCGGTCTCGCTCATCGTGAAGTCGCATTGAAGACTTCGGCACTTCTTGGCGGGTCTTTTCTTCGAGGATCGTCCCAAAAATGGGTAGACTCGCAGAAGGAGGGTGGTTGTATCGTGGCAGAGGAATACGAAGAGGAGGACAGAAAAAGATGGTGTTCTGGATTGACAAGAAAATCGCGTCATGACGCTCAGCAGGACGTCGTGCATAGATATTCATCGTCAGCCGCAACGCGCGGCCAGGGCCAAATCGGCCGCACGCAGGAACAGCGACACGCACCCGCTGCGCTCACGCGCACCAGAGTGATGTGGGCGACCGTCCAGTTTTTACCTTCGGGCGCGGCGCCCACCCGCCCGGGCCGGTACATCGGGATCGGGCCCCCGCCTCCCGCATTGCACCAGACCCCCGGCCTCGGTCCCGCTCCAGGGACTCGTCGTCTATGCCGAACACGCGAAGCCCACACCACCGCTTTCGGCCATGTCCACGTATCCGCACCTGAAGGTCAGTTCAGGGGTAGAATGTGCGTCAGTCCAAGCGTCTTAGATGGGTGGTACCCACGCACAGCTGAGCCTGAAGCCGCGTATGTCCGATTGCCCGCAGCCTGCAGGTCCGCCCTGCCTGAAGACGCAGGGGAAGCTATTGACTTAGTCAGTTACTCTGGGAATAGCGGGTGATGGATCAGCCGGTGGTTGATGATGTTTCATCGAGACTTTCTGGGTCGTTCGGATTCCGCACAACTCGGATTTGGCCGCTGACATGGAGGATGTCGAGCATGAGAGTCAGGTCTGCCGAGCCTGCCGGAATAGTGATGAGTCCAGTGGGCCATGATACTTTCCCGTTGAAGGCATGCAGGGCTCAATGACAAGGTCATTTTTGTGTGTCCGAAAGGGTATCGCAGGGTGAGGGTTTTCGGGGTCATTGGGTTCCCCCAACTCTGAGCTTCAACTTTTCCGCTCTCTTGATGTCTTGGGGTTTACCAGTGGTTGAGCGACTGTCTACACATGCAAGGACGCAAGAGACTTATCGTTTCTCAACTCTAAAAGCATTTGGATCGAAAGACAAGTCGCGAAATATGCAGGAACTTTGCTCTTTTTGCCCTTCGTTATTGGATCACCAGTCTTCACGGCTGCCCGATGGATAACGGCACGAACTTCGGAACAGTCCATTCAAAAGTTTGCATTTTAGCACGGCATCTCTGATGGCTATGACTTACTGTTCGCCTGTAGTCTGAATAAGGTCCAAAGCCTATTCAATGGTCTTGACTAAGTGTTGGTGCGGTTTGGAAAAACTTGCTCAGCTAAGTGGAACCATTTTTAGTATTGCAGAGTTTCTCTGGAACGCAGCTAACGACTCGCCGTCCAGTGTTAGTAGGATTATCGAAACTTATCATTGTACGATCGTTACCCGATGCGAATGGAATACCAAGACGATCCGAGGATAAGAAATAGATGCAAGCCCCGTCGCTGTGGCATGGTTCGCCATCGTCCACATCAGATGCCGATCGCATGCAGGACAGTTGGACAAAGGGAACAGGTCCTTGATCATTCGTCGAAGTCGAGGTTTCTGTGCCACATCAAGAAGTATTTTTCGCGGTCTTGTAATTTCATTTTGATTGTGACTCCTGTATTCCGATTGACACAATGTGTGGTGGTGGTTCGAACAAGACTTTGAACATGAATCAAAACAATACCGACCGTTGCGCAGCTGCACTTGGCTTAAATGCCTCATATTGTAAGCCCAGAAAGACAGGGAGTTCTTGCATGCCCAGGGACTTTGTTCGCATTGCCGTTTCGAAACATGGCGCTTTGTTGACGCCACAGGGCCTCATTGGACGTTGAGTGAGGCTTGCGATCGATCACCATTCGGCATGAATGCACTACCGAAAAGCCCTGAAAGCCGAAATCGCAATTGAGAATTGCTTATCGTGGTTATCGGATCGGATACGGAGCGGATTGGCCCAGTGCTGACATCGGCCCCGATTCGCCAGCCAACACACGTGTCAATAGCCGGACGTTCCGCAGAGCCTCTTCTTGTGTTCCGTCAACAGCCCATTAGACTGTATGATAGAAAATCCTGTTTTGTCATATGATTCGTTACGCAAACGAGTTTTGCAAAAATTGAGAGGCCGATCTGCATTTGTTTATAAATCTGTTCATCGTGGAGGGGCACATTGGGTACTGTCTGCGACCAAATGGCCTTAGAGATGCGGGTCTAAGCAGTCGCCAGCTCATCGATGCATAAAATTGACGAATTGTAATTGAGAAACTAAACAATGCAACAATCACAATGTGCAAAAATTCGCCCCATTGTCACAGCATACCATGAGCACATCCGCCCCAAGACTTTGCCTTGTCCTAGGGTATGAGGTTGCCTTCGCACCAACACGATGGTTCGCCATCACGAGTTTTTTCAACGGGCGAACCCAAAATTACCCTTGTTCCTGCACAGTACTTAATTCCTGAGTCTAATTGGCGAATGTGGGATGGATTTTATGGCTCTCTGCACAAGCGACTTGTCGTGATTGGACAGCTCGCGAATCTGACATGCAGCTAAGTCGTGGCAGCTCCATCCAGACCTTAACCAATCCGGAAATGCACATATTCTGTGCCACAAGCTTCATAAACCCCCCATGTCGACATCCGTAGTTCGCGCGCCGCCGCCGTTGCTTGCCCACATTCACCGCTCCATGTCCCAACGCCTCCCGAGTCTGGACACACTGTTCGCGTCGTATTGTGTTCCGTCGCCGGTGACCGAGATTGTTTGCTGAACACGGAGCTGCTCGCCCGTCCATCATGGTGACGCCGCCGACTGCCCAGCAATGGGAGCAACACCGCTCCGTCATTGTTGACATGTACTCGCGCCGGCCGTTGAAGGCGGTCCGGGCGCATATGAGGGAAACGTACGGGTTCTTGGCCACGTGAGAGATATTTCTACCACCGGTTCAATGCAAAGTACTTATTAGTTCTTCAGGGATCGTATGTTTAAGGGTCGCTTCAAGACGTGGGGAGTCGAAAAGAACAGACGGCATAGACGAGATGCGGGGGATGGTGGGCCAGACAGCCGAGAACAATCACCCGCAGGACCATCACAACAAGCTCCCTTGCCAAACGACCTCGACATCCCTTCTCACGATAGCATCATCCCTCGCCGACTGCCACCAGACCCCGCTCGTGCGATAACACCACCGGAAGAGTCCCCAATAACCAACGATGCCGCCTCCGAATACTCGGAAACACTGTCTCCCCGTCCACAACCTTGGCCATTGACGCCGGCAACTACGGTAGGGGACCTCTCTCCTACCGGCTCTCAAGATGGCGAAAACCTCACAACCCCACAGACATGCCAAGAGATCGTGAGACTAGCCAGCGAAATACTCGCGACACTAGTTGCGGAACGTCGAGACAGGCCAGCGCCCGATGATCACGTCGATATATATCAAAGCCTCCACTCCAAACTTCGATTCGAAAGTCAATTACGAAGCTCTCTGGTAAATCGTCAACTAAAGGTGGGAGAATGCAGAACGGTTGCCGGTAAGACAGTCGAAGAGATGATCACATCATTCCACGCGACGGTACCAATCGGGGTCTTAAGCACGTTGAACCAGATAACGAATTGGACAACGATCCAAGAGCTGGTTACACTTTTATTTGAGACTTCCCAAACAAATCCAGGGACCCACCATGATTTTGCCCAGCTCATACGAAAGCTTCGCCATCTTGTTTTTATCACAAACCACGAAGAATTTCAGTCGTCCATGGAACAGATTTGCTACCGTCTTGAAGATAGAGTAGAAGAGACCCTGGGCTCGATTAGTCTGGTCGGCTTTTATCTCATCCTTCTACTCAACGCAAGAAAGGCTAAATCCATCCATAAGACGGACAATAAAATCCGGAGAAAATCTCTTGAGATCACCCGACACGTTACACTACACCACGAAGACCAACCAAAGGTTGTGCTGGATTTTCACCGATATGTTATCGCGTATCTGTCAATAGTGGCACCTGGGGAGAAGGACGTCTTGGATATGGCGGAGGTGTTCTACAAACGCGCCCAGGAATATTTTGACTTGAACGAGCACGTGGAGGGGTCACACGCGAGGCTCTACTACGGGTCCAGCTGCGCCTACTTGGCTGATTGCCGCTACGTTCGTAATAACACGGAGGACCGCCACCAAGCTCGCAGTCTTCTTTTCCAGTCCATATGGTGTTATGCGAACGCTCCGTGGGCCAACAGAGCAAACGCTGAACGTCAGATGAAGAAGTTGAGAGAATGGTGCGAGGAGGCAAACGACACGAAGAGACTGGGTATGCTGCGTGGTATTGAAGACATGATGGAAGAGGAGGCTCGCCAGAGAGGGGGTCCTTTGATCCCTAGGGCAGCAGCAACTTGAACAGGCGCACCGACTTCAAGCCGCATGAGCATGGCCTGAAGGTTCAGCAGTGTGATATCGAGAAGTTCATGCTAACGCCACTCAATCGATGTTATCATTGTGGACAACCCACGACATGATGCAGGGCATGCCTTGATGAGGCTGAAGCCAAGGAAGATGCAGATCTGGAAGATTCCCGAACGAGGTTGGTCCCACATCTTGAAACAAGCTGTCAGCCGCAAGAAGTGGGTTGGGACTTGCGTCATGTCGCCTTCGCCTCCCCCCTATCTTCTCCAGTTCGGTGAATTCGGTGGGTCCCGGTGTGTTCACCGGCACAGACCGACGCAGACCGACCGTGGCCGGACTAAAACGTCCGCATCAGCAATGGGAAGTACTGTTCTGCGCTTATCGGATCTCCCAACCACACCCACCAGGAAACATTGGATCCTGCATCAGAATTTCGATTTCAATTTGCCATCCACTCCATGTTCGTTTCTTGTCTTTGTCGACAATCAACCTTTCTGACATCATGAGGGTCTTTGCTGCGATTTGACTTCATCGCTCCACAGGAAAAGTGGTGCTCTCATCTCATCCTCCGCAACCGTGATGTAATCGTGATGTTGCATCACGATCGCCTCAAAGATATCTCATCGAGGCGATTTTTCAGTTTTCAATAAGCTACTTAAGACAATGTTTACGGCTGGACAAGTTGATTTTCTTTTTGTTCTACACAATCGAATCAACCGCGATCACAGAGATACCCAATTCCACCATCAACAACAAACAACAACTCCCCAATCCATAAACTTTACTTCCACACTATAAAAATGTCTACCACCAGAAACATCGACTCCGTCAACCCCAAGCAGGGCGAGTTCCACCCCAGCGTCCCTCGCTCCGAGCCTCTCACCACCAAGGGCGTAAGTTCACAATCAACCACTCTCACCTGAAGCGCACATCATTCTAACCCCAGCACAGCATGCCCCTGGCACCAAGGTCGGAAACGACGCATACCCTGAGTTCCACGCCCAGGCCTACCCTGCAGGCACCGCACCCCGGGAAAACACCTTCCAGCCCAACGCAGTTTCCGAGACCCCCGGCCAGGCCCTGAACCCCAACGCGGACCCTTCAGGTCGGACGGCGGCCCACGACTTCCCCGGCGCTACCTCGGCTGACGTACACGCTGGTCTGGGCAAGCCTGTCCAGGGCCAGACCAGCGCCGAGATGCATGGCTCCAACGTCGGTCGCCGCGCCAAGGAGAGCGCTGGCCTCGAGGGCGTCGGCGCTTCGGGCAAGGACAACTTCCGTGACCGTCGCCTCGACGTTGGCGTCGCTCCCGGTGCTCGTGGTGATGGCGGCAACCCTGAGAACATCACGCCTGCGGAGAACCTGCCGCCTGTTTCGGCTGAGGAGATCGCGAGCGAGCGTCGCTGAAGGACTTTAATGAGGCAAAAAAGCATACTTTGTACTACTAGATTATAACGTCACGAGCGATGATGACTCTGTTTGGCACATGAACCGGCAAATGGTTTAGATCAGAAATGAAAAAGAATTTCAAGCCATGTTTTATTTCGCACTCCCAAATTCTATCCCGCTACGTGTTCCCATTGAATGATCCCTAGATTCCGCTACTACACATTACAAAACGCCTGCAACGTTTGGAAATGCGCAAAGGCCCAAGAAGCAAGTATACACAGGCCTGAGTCCTCCACCTTGATGGTGAGAGAGCTCAGGCGTCCAAGAGAGGGCGCTCCGCTTAAGCAGAGGTCTCAGCCTCGGCGGTGGTGATCTGGGCGTTGGAGGGAGGGGTCTTCTTGAGGGTGAGGGTGATCTTGTTGGCGGAGTCGTCGCCGGTCTGGTTCCACTTGAGGTTGTAGATGCCGTCGACGCTGCTGGGCGTAGCATACCACAGAGACTCCATGCCGCCACCGGAGGTGCTGTCGACGAAGATGAAGGAGCCGTAGAAGGTGAAACCAGAGGTCTGGCGGTCAGTAGAGCTGGAGTTGGAGAAGCCGACGTCGTGGGAGCCAGAGGTCTCGCTGGGGATGGAGAAGGGCAGGTTGGACCAGGTGGGAGGAGTGGTGCTGTTGCCGATGGCGGTGGTGTTGGGAGCGCCGGTCCAGGTGTTGTTGTCATTGGGGGTGACTTTGCGACGGTCAGTCAGCATGTTCATGCCAGGGTATGGGCGCGGTGACTTACAGATGACAGGGGCGGCCTGGGTGTCGTTCAACTTGGTGTGGTCGCCGAAGTAAGCATCGCCTATTGATTCTCCGTTAATATCAAAGTAGGATAGGGATCTCAAAAGAAGAGCTTCAAAGCCGGACAAACGAGAACAGGGGGGGCGTGCACTCTGAGCCTAAAAGCTCCTATTTACATGCGGTGAGGTATTGTAAAACCCTCGGAAAAGAAGCTCGAAATGATACAGTACCGGACCCACCTCCAGAGGAGAACATGGCAAGTCCTCCAATTCCGGTGCCATAGGCGTAAACCTGGAAAGGACTAGAGTTGTCGGCGGCGACGGCGCGACGCTCCGAGGAAGGAGCAGCGGCCGCGAGGCCGGCGAGGGACAGAAGAACGGATGCGACGGGCTGCATGGTTGCGATTGTCTTTTTCAAAAAAAAAAAAAAAAAAAAGTGAAAATGAGAGTGGAAGGTCGGCTAAACGATTGGATGAGGCTGTAAAAGAGACTCGAGGAGAAGAGCGAGAGAAAAGGATGGACTAGGTGAGTGTGGGTGAAGAGGTGGGGTTCCTAAAAGGGAGTTGGCTGAGGGGAGGTCGTGTTGATTAAATAAAAACCGCAGAGCATTGTCGAGTCATCCGTGCAAGCCGCGTCTCCTTGCCGGAGTTCCCTATACAAGGTTGCAAATTTTATTCGGGGTTTCTTCCCGGCACGAGCTACCCAGCCAGATGCGACACAACCTTCACAGCTTCTGTTCCTGGCAAAGACGCAACTTGGACTTTGACAAACTTGGGCACGCACATACGCTTTGGTACTGGGCCGAATTCCGCATGTTCAGGGAAGTATGTTGATGAGGCTTAGACTCCACTGTGATATCAGGTGGAGAGGGGATCTAGCATCAATTCTCCTGTATCTCCTGCATGTCCTTGACGCGTCGGTCATTGCCGTGACGGCAACTGGCCAAGCTTTTTCGAAGCTGATGGGACGGAAACGGCCCTGGGCCAACCAGAAAGCGTGGAAGCGCCGTTGTCGTTTATCGGGAGCTAGGCACATCCCGGAAGCGGGGGACATGTCAAGCCGGGAGTGGTGTTTCGGAATGTGGGATGAACGGGGGCCATGCTGGGGTCCAAGATCTATGGGGCTTTTGCGGGTTCTTGATATATAGCAGGGATATTATAGGTCGAGACCATCGCAAAAGGGGGATGGCTTCGAGCGAAACCACGTAAGATCAAGGAGGCTGCGCAACGTGTTCCTGGCGAGGACGAACACCCCCTTCAAGCACAGACAACCTCGCCCGTACAGCGGAGTCGGAAGTTTCTAAAATCAGCGTCTCCAAGTGGAGACTTCATCGGCCGGGCATGGAGCTCCGATCGCTCCCACACTTCCGGATGGTCGGTCAACCCGGTCATCCACGGCTCAAAGCGTCGACCGAACGGCACAACCGGCCCTTCCTGGACTCCTGGATGTCGGCCCTGTGAGGCTGCAGCGGGTCGAGCCCCAAGCGACTCCTTGACACCCCCCTCTTTGCCCAGCTTCTCCTTGACGCTGGCCCTAGCATTGCGAATTAGTCTATAGCTGCTACGAGTCAGCCCAACTGCGGTTCATTTACACGTCTCCAACACGTACCATCTTACGACCCCGTACAGCCACGCATGGGTCACATAGGGGCATGTCTCAGAAACATCCTTCTTTCGACATGGGAATCATCGTGAGATATTGCCGTGATCCATAGACGCTTTCTCTCGCTGAATCTATGCATGAAGATCATAACCTACTGGGGCAAGTCCGAGGAGCTATGGTCCTATGGATACCGGCAAGAGCGGCTCTACGGGAGACTGGAGACGTGAAGCCATTCACTGGGGTAATAGAGTTTTTAGACTCTGTGAACTATCGCTCTTGCCGTGAGCCGGTTGACGTGCGGAATACATAAGCTCTGCGGCCCGTCGGTTGTTTGACTCCATTCCCACTCTCTCACCACCCAGCACAGTTCGCTCTGCGCTTCCATTCGCTCTTTGCTTCCTTCACTCTTTTCCTACTTGTGTCATCCAGTCTTTCTTTTACCTTCTCTTGGCACTTCACACTCCCTCACAATGCTCAAGTCTCTCTTCGTGGCCGGAGCCCTCGCCGGCTTGGCCTCTGCCTTCCCTTCCGCTGTGGACTCTCCCTTCCCGTCCAAGCTCTACCCTCGTGCGGCCTGCAGTGGCAACACTGCCAGCACTCGTTCTGAGTGGTGCGACTACGACACCAGCACCGACTACATGAACACCGTCCCCGACACGGGCGTCACCCGCGAGTACTGGCTCGAGCTCACCGACGTCACCGTCTCTCCCGATGGTGTCTCCCGCTCCGCCATGGCCGTCAACGGCTCTATCCCCGGTCCCACCCTGTTCGCTGACTGGGGTGACACTGTCACCGTTCACGTCACCAACTCCCTGACTACCTCCAACAACGGTACCAGCATTCACTTCCACGGCATTCGCCAGAACTACACCAACGAGGCCGATGGTGTCAGCTCCATCACCCAGTGCCCTCTGGCGCCCAACAACACCATGACCTACACCTGGAGAGCTACCCAGTACGGATCTACCTGGTACCACTCTCACTTTGCCCTACAGGCCTGGCAGGGTATCTTCGGTGGTATCATCATCAACGGTCCCGCCACTGCCAACTACGATGAGGATCTCGGCATGGTCTTCCTGAACGACTGGGACCACCAGACCGTCGATGAGCTTTACTCCACCGCCGAGACCTCCGGCCCCCCGACTCTGGACAACGGTCTCATCAACGGCACCAACGTCTACGGCGATGATGGCGACTCCACCCAGACCGGTACCCGCTTCAACATGACCTGGACCTCCGGTACCTCCTACCGCATGAGACTCGTCAACGCTGCCGTCGACACCCACTGGAAGTTCATGATTGATAACCACACCATGACCGTCATCGCTGCCGACCTTGTCCCCATCACTCCCTACACCACCACCGTCCTCGACATGGGCATGGGCCAGCGCTACGACATCATCGTCACTGCCGACCAGGCCGACACCGCCGACAACTTCTGGATGCGCGCCATCCCCCAGGCTGCCTGCTCTGACAACGACAGCACCGACAACATCAAGGGTATCATCGCCTACACCAGCACCATCGGCACCCCCACCACCTCTGCCTACGACTACACCGACTCTTGCGACGATGAGACCGACAACCTCGTCCCCTACCTCTCCAAGTCTGTTGATGACGCCAACTGGAACGACCTCGAGTCCGCCACCGTCGGCAAGAACACCGCTGGTCTCTTCAAGTGGTACCTCAACAGCACCTCCATGCTCGTCGACTGGGCCGACCCGACCCTCCTCCAGATCGTCAACGGCACCACCAGCTGGGAGACCGACGACGCCGTCATCGAGCTCTCCGAGGCCAACAAGTGGATCTACTTCGTCATCGAGACCACTCTGGCCGTCCCCCACCCCATCCACCTTCACGGTCACGACTTCTTCATCCTGGCTCAGGGCTCCGGCACCTACTCCAGCTCCGTCTCCCTCAACACCACCAACCCTCCCAGAAGAGATACTGCCATGCTTCCCTCCTCCGGCTACCTCGTCATGGCCTTCGAGACCGACAACCCGGGTGCCTGGCTCATGCACTGCCACATCGGCTGGCACACTTCTGAGGGTTTCTCCATGCAGTTCGTCGAGCGCTACGATGAGATCTCCGCCCTCACCAACTCCACCACTCTCGAGAACGTCTGCACCAACTGGTCCACCTTCCAGGAGGAGTACTCCATCGAGCAGGAGGACTCTGGTGTCTAAATCTCACGTATCTAACATCATCACGAACACATTCATTGGGTTGAGAACGGTTTTCCTTGAGTCTGCATAAAGGGATGGGTTGCGGGCGAACTGGGTGTTTCATTTTGTACCTTCCACATATAGACCAACTTTTTCCTCACATACACGAAAGGGCTTAATTCTTCAAACTCTTAAGTCTTCAAGCTAGCGGTATGAACTGGTTGCATGGGAAACGCCGCGGGGAGGCCGACGAGAGCGAAGCAAATCCATAACTAGACGTGGACAATTCCTGTGTACATAGTTCCGCGCCGGAAACGGCTCGAATCTGCATGTTTGCTGCTAGCACATCTAAATCGAGTTCTTTTGAAAACATTCTGAATATGACGGTGAACATGACTTGCAACTGAAATCGATTTTTACTTCCAACTTGCAGACTTTCAACTTGCGCTAAGCTTTCTGGTTCTGTTTGA